TCAACACCCATGGAAGCAGCAGTCAAGAAATCAAATGACGCATTGCATTGGGCAAATCTGCTGCAAAAGACCTCTTTAAAGTGTTGAAAAGCAAGGATGTCACCTTGAAGACTTAGATGCCCCTGACCCAAGCCATGGTATTTTCAATCGCATCATTTGCATCAGAAAACTGGACAATGAATGAGGAAGACCGAAAAAGAATTGATGCCTTTGAATTGTGGTGTTGGCGAAGAATATCGAATATACCGTGGACTGCCAGAAGAACGAACAAATCTGTCTTGGAAAAAGTACAACCAGAATGCGCCTCAGAAGCAAGGATGGTGAGACTTTGTCTCACATACTTGGGACATGTTGTCAGGAGGGATCAGTCCCTGGAGAAGGACATCATGCTTGGTAAAGTACAGGGTCAGTGAAAAAGAGGAAGACCCTCTACGAGATGGATTGATACAGTGGCTGCAGCAATGGGCTCAAGCATAACAACAATTGTGAGCATGACGCAAGACCGGGCAGTGTTTCGTTCTGTGGTGCATGGAGTCGGTATGAGTCGGAACCAATCTGATGGCACCTAACAACAATAACAGTGTACGTGTGTATTTACTTATAGCTATCCTAGTGGGTTTGTTCATGGTTTTCCTCTTTGAGCATGCTTAAAATAATTTATAGAAAATGTTGTAGTGGAAACACCACATGTCTGTTTAGGTTAAAAAAACAAACAGTTTTATTATGGCAAAGAAAGCTTTCTACAAAATGGGGAGACACAGTGCTGGAAGAAATTCAACAATGTGTTCTCGGGGGGCTACAGTAACACAAAAACTTATGAAGAAAATATCGCGAATAGCAAGATACAGCTAAAACAGTTTTGATTGGTTAACATATACAAAGCTGCAGGTGGTGATGCCGTGGTTGACCATCCTGGCAGGTGCTGACATCTTTTTCAAGGATGACTCTAGGTGACAGGATTCTGGCCGACCGCTAAAACCACTTGTTTTCTGGCATCTAGACATCTGTAGTCTATGTTAAATTGTTACTTTAGCATTAAGATGGAAGATTCTGTTGAAGTATAAAACAAAAAAGTTCTAGGATGATTATACCTAATACTTAAGGAGGGGAAAAGTTTTTTGATACAGAAAAGCTATAGTTTTGTACGATTAGTTTATTCTAATTATAACTTTTAAGGAGAGTTAGGTCCCACTCTGGTTTAGGCTGAACAAGGTTATAAAGAAAATGTAAGGACCCGAGAATAGGTTAGAAAAATACTTTTCGAGGGAGGGCAAAGGGGGCTCTTTCTGAGAACTGGCATAGTAGTTAGAGTCACATGTTTCATACGTCTATCTAATACATATAGATCTGGAGTTATCTTTTTTTTTTTAAACCATCGGCCATGTCTAACTGCAAGCGCTTCCTGTAGTAGAGTAGGGGGGCAACAATAACAAGCTGCATTGTATGAGAAGTCTAAGAAGTCTAAGATGGAGTCGCTTAGAACAAGAAAGGATGGATCTCAGAACCTAGCTAGAAATCCCAGTTATGCTAAGAGTTTTAGCTTTGGAATGCTCTTCGTCGGAAGTTTGTTTAGTATGTTAAAAGTCTGCCTTCCTCAGGGACAATTTCTATTGACTGCTTTTTTTTTTTTTTTTCCTGTGCACGTGCCTTACTTTCTTGTTTATTTGAGTGCCTCATAACTTTTTAAACATTTTTAATCTTATAATGTGACAGCTTTGGAAATTAGATTCCTCCTCCTCCCCAGCTTGTTGTACTAGGTGTGGTTTGTTTAGTGACACTGCTGGACTATTTTCTAAGGTCTGCATTCTTTGTTGTGTGTGACCACAGAAATATCGGTTTCTTTAGTTTAAAGGTGAGCTAATGATTGACAGAGAGGTTCTTAAATGCCTGGAAGCAAAAATAAAAAAGGAAATCTCCCAGTCATTGCAGATGTACTCTGTGTGTCTGTGTGTATGTTGGAGCACACCTTCAACGAACACTCAACCAGCCAGTTTAAAACTCTGCCTTCTAGATTCTTCTGAATATGTGGGAGCTTTTCGAAGTCCTTCTTCCCCAAGCAGCTCATTCCCTAGCCTTTCATTTCAAGCTTTTTGGTTTGCCTATTATTTGCCCTTGGAGCCCTAGTGGTGCAGTGGTTAAGAGCTATGGCGAGTTTCAGCTGCTAACCAAAAGGTCGGCAGTTCGAATCTGCCAGCTGCTCCTTGGAAACTCTATGGAGCAGTTCTACTCTGTCCTGTAGGGTCGTTATGAGTTGGAATGGACTCGACGGCAACGGCTTTGGTTTTTTTGGCTGTTATCCATTGTGTCAGGCAGCTAGGACTAATATATTTGTTTTAAAATGTTTTTGACAGACGCTCCCCAGGAAGCCACCTCAGCCCTTTGAACTGATACTTCAAGGAGCCCCTAGACAGATGAAAACAATCAACTACAGTTCTTTGAGAATAAGGTCTGTACTGCTCTCTCTGGTAAAAGGCACGTGTACCAGGCATGTGGGTTGTTGTCTTCGAGGCTGAATTGAAGCTAGGGGGTAAAGGATGGTGCTAGGAGAAATTAAAATACCACAAGGCTCTCTTAGCGTGATTGATTAAACATTCCCCTGGTGTTTGTAAGCTTTTGAGTAGATTTCATAGTTGTTACTGATTCACTTATTACCTGTGACTGTGTAAATTTTAAGCACTGTTTTACCACTAAAAGCATTTGGTTATTCATCTAGAGGAAGGGGGGTTGTAATAGTTAATTTCTACAGCCTTTTTAAGCTCTAAACGTATATGAATGTATAATTCATAAAAAAAACTCTGACATTTGTCATTTGTATTTTAAAGCACACATAGTATAGCTTATGTATATTTGTGCTTATTTGTGTGCCTAAATAATCATCTTTTTTTCTCCAGTGAATTCTGCCATTTCCCAGAATCCAAATATTTTCCAGTGAAACATGACTTCAAATTGGAAATTATGATTAGAACCTAAGTTTTAATGACTAGAACATAGCTTAATAGATGTTCATGAAACACTTTCATTCAAATAATGTGATATCTATATATCTATCTGAATTTATGGCACAAACATTCACCTCTAGATTTTTTTCCATTTGTGTTCTTAAACATCGAGATTTGCTTTTGCCTTGTGAAGTTATTTATTTTATTGCTTATATGTATTTGGTTTTATTCCAAAAAAATCTTGCACAAACATATCATCTCAAATGAATGGATATAAAGCAAGCAAAGGAGTTAAATGATGATGCGTTTAAATGCTTCATTCAGTTCATAATATCTGGATCTTTTTTTAATTGTAACATTTGACTCTGATGATTATTATTTGGATTAATAGTCTCTCACTTTGAAGTAAGCATTTAAATTTCCTTTGTAAATATATTATGAATTAAAAAGCTCTTATATTTTATGAATTTTGGTTAGTGAACATTTATTTGCCCTATGTTCTCAAAGGTTACATTAGAAGGAGAATTTTATTTCATTTTTAAAGTTTTAGTACCGCTTTATTTCCAGCTTCCTTCTTACTTGGGTCTGTGGAACACTGTATCTCACGCACCAAAACATTTCTCTGATTCACAGATCTCTCACTCAACTTTAAATTGCTTTGGGAACTGGGGAACAATTACAATAACTCTTGTGTAACAAATATTTACTCATCCACGTCTGTGGAATCTGGCATTATTTCCGGATCCTGACCTTAATTCAGAATGCTGTGACAGATATTTAAAAAATTCTAAATTGGCTCTTCCAGAAAATGTAGATAATTTTTCAGTTTAAAGTAAGTTTTAAATACCATAAACTGCACCGCTCCAAACTATGTTGTTGTTTGTAGCTGTTGGTAGGTGCCGTTGAGTCCGTTCCCACTCACAGCAACCCTGTGTACGATAGAGCTTTTTTCAAACTATAAAGTTATTCTTTGATTTGAGTTTATACTATAAACAACTTTAACAATATAGCTGTATTATTATTATAATCATTAAAACACAGCTACTAGTTTGTTATTGTAATTATTATTTATATTATTATTGTAAAGATCTGTAAAATATCCTCACAGCAACAGAACAATTTACATATGCAATTTAATGTTTTTTCTCTCAGCATCCCTATGAGAAATGTAAGGCAAATATTTTATCACTATTTTACAAGTGAGAAAACTAAGGCTATAAATTAGAAGCAAAGAACTTTAAACCAAAAACCTTGAATCTAAGTCTGTTCAAGTAAGTGTTAGGTGAATTCTCTCTATTTACATTGCATTAACTGGTGATTATCTGTATGAGACAGCAGCTTGTTAGTACTGATTGAAAGATGCTAAGAAAATAAACTAAAACTAAAAGCCTGCCGCAAATGAACAAATGTGGCATATTAAAGTTATCCTGATCACGAATCTCCAGGTACTGCGCAGGGAAATTGCGTAAGAGCCCAGAAAGTAAACCTGTGTCTTTTCAGCCAAAACCTATCTATTATGTGCAACCACTGTGGTCATCCATAGGCCCAGAGAGAGAGGAGAAAGACAAGTAAACTCCTTCCCCTAAGTCGCTTGTTATTTCACAAAATGCAAGGTAACTGTTCAAAATGCTAGGAGCAAAAGAAAACAAAGGCAGCATGACATGTCTGGTTCAAGGTGGTTTACACTGATGAGGGGATTCTTGCCTGGGAGGGAAAGGCTTAGAGCAGGTGGGAAAGAGAAACAGTTTGGGTGGCTTAAGATACATTGTCATTATAGTTTTCTGAAGCAGAAGCCAACAGACTCTCTGGCTTAGACCCAAAGGGCTGGATCCGGAACGTCTCCATATTTGCCAGTAAGTCAGGTAAGTCATTGTCTTGTCATTTTTCTTCCTTTTGCATTTCATTACTGGGCTGATCAAAGTGTTCATGTTCCTTATCCAAGGCATCTTCACTTGGGGAAGATTTTGGTTTATTATTAGAAAGAATATAGAGCGAGTATAGAATCATTGCCATTTTCCTCTGGGCACTGTTGAATGAGTGTTGTCAAATTTTGTCTTGGTGACCCTAATTCTTCCATGGTTCTCACTGACCACTCATTATTGACATATGATTTCTATATATATTTTATTGCTACCTACAAGGCAGAATAGTGGAGTCCGTGAGAGGTGTAAATGGTTAACACGTTTAACTGCTGACAGAAAGGCTGGAAGTTTGAGCCCACCCAGAGGTACCTTGGAAGAAAGATCTGGCAATCTACCTCTAAAAAGTCAGCCATTAAAAACCTTATGGAGCACAGTTCTACTCTGATTCACATGCAGTCACAGTGAATCGTAGTCTACTTGATGGCAACTGGTTTTTTAGGCAGGATAGTGATTGAAAGAGTGTGGGCTTTGGACCTTGCCTCTGCCCATTATAATCCACGTGACCTCAGCCAAGTGAACTAATTTCAAGCGCAGTATCTGGTACATTGGCTTCTGCAATAAAAGTTGGCTAAATGAATGAAACAAAGTTCTTTTTTTTTTTTTTTTTAATTTTAATTCCTTTTTGAGGTAGTCCTGGCCTTAAACTGAATAAATAAAAATTAGCAATCTCTTTTAGACTCAAGTTTTTCATTTGTAAGATTGTGATTGGTACATCCGTTGTTTGTCTTTCTGTTCAAAGTTGAAATATTCCTACAGTGCATTTTTTTAACTAAATTGTGTCTCTAGTGAGAACCTGTCTGTCAAGTTCAACTTCTGACTCCCAGTCATTAACTCAACAATCATTATACAACAAACCGAGTTTGATAGTGGGGAAGAGCAGCTGTGCTGAATTCTCAAAACTGTTAGCCTACACGAGGCTCAAATTTGTGATTTTGACCAACTTTTGGTTGTTACAAAAGGATCAATTTTAACATCCAGCCAGTAATTACTGACAACTTCCTTAATCTAAATATTTTAATTCTTTGTGTCACATTTGTGCTCAGAAACCTTATAGAATCACATTGTATGATGTCAATTTTGGAAGGTAGCTAAGGTTACAGATTATAAATACCCCATACTTGCTGCTGTCTACTGGTGGATTCCTTCCCCACTAAAAGAAGTGCCAAGTTCTTTGCCTGACTTTTAAGCCTTTCTGTATGCCTGCCATATGTTCCTTCCAAGATGTGCTTGCCACCAGTCCTTCACAGAAACTCCCTTGTCCAAAAAGGATGTACTGCCAATCTGATTTTTCTTAAATTTTGGCTCAACGTCTTCTCTTTCCAGGGCACTTGCCTTCCCCTCTTTTCTTCCAAGCCTGTCTAATGCTCTCCATGATTCCAGAGTCAGCCCTCTCCTGAAATTCTTCTTGAATTCTCACTTGACGGATTGATTTCTCATGAAGTTTTTTCTTCTGGGAAAACTTACAATTTTAACTCAAGCTATACAGTATAATTGCGTTTGTATCATATTTTCATGTGAAATGTTTTAGTATCCTTAACTGAATTGTGAACATTGTAATGGGAGGCACCTTAAATTATCCTTTTCTTTCTCATTAGCATGCTTGGGACATAATTGGGCTCAAGGTAGGCTGTCAGTAATATTTTAAAAATATTGTAGTAATATGGTACCAGTTTACCCTGCCTTATAAAATTGTGTCTTTCAATAACATTATTTTCTTAAGAGTGTTTAACTACCACTCTGGAATTTTCTATAAAACACAAAAGAAGTATGGTCTTATCATTTTCCAGGTTGTTAAGCCAATATAATAAGACAAACAACATTTTGTTTGGAGCAAAAATATCTGGATAGTCTGCTGACTCATTGTAGATTAAAGCCTTGCTACTCGGTGTGATTTCTAGACCAGCTGCATCAGCATCTCTGGGAACTTACTAGAAATGCAGAGTTTCCGGCCTTGTCTCAGGCATCTGCAGTTTAACTCAATCCCCAGATGATTAATAAGCATATGAAAATTAGTGAAGCAGAGAACTCGACTTGTTGTTAAAGACCTGAGCTTCATGTTCTACTTTATTATTTACTACTGGTTTACCTTGGTCAAGTTTTCTCTTTTATATTTGAAAAAAATGGAGATGATATAAAAATGATTATATTGTGTAAAGCATAGAATGGTATATACATACGTGTATGTGCATTTATACAAAGTATTTAAGCATTATTATTATTTAGGTTGATTTAAACAAGTAAATTATCAAGATAAACTCTGAAACTACAGAATGAAACAAGTGAGGAGACTATGTAATGTTCTGCAAAGATTATCCATCATATACGTGTGGAGCTGGCCTACTCAAAGGTTTTGTCACTGGAGTAGTCAAACAAGATATTAAGGATTATGAGGTCAACAACTCAGTATGCTATTGAACAGATGTCAGATTTCATTACATGTTATTCAATTTATTATGATTAAATATCTATAAATTTACACTATTAAACTTAATGAAAATCAGGTACACAGTGCCAGGCATAGAAGGAAGTGTACATAAAAGACAAAGTTGCTTTGACATTTTGACCATCAGTGTTAATCACTGATTCAAAATTCCTGTTCTGTTCAGTTGCTGCCACTACTTGCTTGTGTTACTGACAAAGGAAAGTCATACTTGTAATCGATAATATTCAATTCCAGAGATTTAATCACTTCAACTCAGGAACTTGTCCTCAACAGCAGGAAAGGTTACTTCTGGATTTGTTTCTGAACATAAGTAGATCTGTGCACATTGGCTACGGGGCTTAAGTACTTCCAACATTACCAATTTCATTGTATTCTAGTCATGCACACTGATGAAGATAACTGGATGTCACAGCTTCAAGCAAACATGCTTTCTACTCCAGCCTAAAAAATAATGGTTGCTCATGTGAATTTTTTTGTTTGCAGTGAATATTTTTATGTTAGATCTTCCTTTTTCAACATGAAAGCAGATGTCATGGATAAGTTTAACCAGACATTTGTGAGTGAATTCATTCTTCTGGGTCTTTCTGGGTACCCAAAGCTTGAACTCATTTACTTTGTTCTAATCCTAGTGATGTATCTAGTGATTCTAATTGGCAACGGTGTTCTCATCATAGCAAGCATCTTTGATTCCCGTCTTCACACCCCCATGTACTTCTTCCTGGGCAACCTCTCTTTCCTGGATGTCTGCTATACATCCTCCTCTGTTCCCTCAACATTGGTGAGCTTAATCTCAAAGAAAAGAAACATTTCCTTCTCTGGATGTGCAGTACAGATGTTCACTGGGTTTGCAATGGGATCAACAGAGTGTTTGCTTCTCGGCATGATGGCTTTTGATTGCTACATGGCCATCTGTAACCCTCTGAGATACCCCATCATCATGCACAAGTTGGTGTATGTGCTGATGGCTTCAGTGTCATGGCTCTCTGGTGGAATTAACTCAATTGTGCAAACAGCTCTTGCCATGCAATTGCCTTTCTGTGGGAAAAATATTATCAATCATTTCACGTGAAATATTAGCTGTTCTCAAGCTGGCTTATGCTGATATATCCCTTAACATTATCACCATGGTGGTATCAAATATAGCCTTCCTGGTTCTTCCACTGCTGGTTATTTTCTTCTCCTACGTGTTCATCCTTTACACCATCTTGAGAATGAGCTCAGCCACAGGAAGACACAAGGCCTTTTCCACCTGCTCAGCACATTTGACTGTAGTGATCATATTTTATGGTACCATCTTCTTTATGTATGCAAAGCCCAAGTCCCAAGACTTGCTTGAAGAGGACAAGTTACAAGCATTAGGCAAACTCATTTCCCTGTTTTATGGGGTAGTGACCCCCATGCTGAATCCTGTAATCTATAGCTTGAGGAATAAGGATGTAAAAGCTGCTGTGAAATATCTGCTGAACCACAAACCTGTCTAATAAGAACTCTGGGATATGTCTGTTTTTGTGTAACAAGCACAAAGATGAACTCATAAGTAAATCTGTGACAGCCTTCTTTGGGGGAAAACATGGTTAGAGATAGATGTTTTTATTCTTTGCCTTTACAAGCACTGCTCTATAGTATGCTATATTGAAAACAGTAGTCTGCTATAAATTAAGCTGCCAGCATGCCCTAATCCGGATCTCACAAAGACAGTGTATTCCATTAGAATCTCATCCCTGGTTATATCTGAAATTAGTGTTTCTGGTGTACTGTGTGGCAACATAGTTGGACAAAATCACCCATAAGCTTTGGAAATAGAGAGGCGAGGGTCCAATTTCTGCTCTACCACACATTACTTAATGATATTGGATAGTTTTTTTTTCTTTCTTTCTAAGCGGTAGTTTCCTTGACTTGTTTACTTATTACTTAAGTAATATAATTTGTGATAACAGCATGAATAAATCCTAGCTCCCAGTGTTGTTGAAAGTCTCAGTAAGTTGGAGAAAATGTCTAGGATAGTACCAGTGTCATATTGTCCTACAATTTCAGAATTGAAACTATAACTCTAAATTGAGGACTAAGCATACTACTTAACACCAGTTATTCCTCTATACTACTAAATATTACAGCCAACTATCTTCCCCCCTGACAGTCGCCCTGTTCATATCAATCACACCCACCCTTCTCCCCTGCTTATCTGTATGAAGAGAAGATCTGGTCAGAGGAAGAAAGAATGATGGAAGTATTTTACATTATGGGGAGTGCCCAGTGAATGGTGAAAGGTGTTTTCCCTATTGTCCCTGTGGAAGAATGGGAAGGTTGTTTTCTCCAGTCTTAGCCAAGTGAGGGGGTGTGGCAAGAGAGTTTCTTGAGGTTTTGGGTGCTGGCAAAGGAGAGGCTGTAATCTGGCTTGATGTGAGGAAGCCTGCTGAGCTCTGGAGTCTATAGGATAGCAGAGGAGCTAGTCTAGAGGAGGGAGAGAGATGGGTATATAAGGACCTTAAAAAAACAAAAAACCCGGAAACATTTCAATTTCTGCCTAAGATGTTCTTACAGGGTCAGAAAGAGGGATGAAAATAGTGATTGAGGAAATAAATATATTTCTTGTTATTCTCCAATGAGTTGAAACTCCTCAGTAAATCTATTGCAGTTTTTATCTTTTCTGTAGATTGCTTATCTAGAAGGCCAAAGCTGAGCCCAGAGTATCTTCAGGACATGCAATCCAGTGAAAGCTATCCCTAGCCCATTAGGACAGCTCTGGGCCTCGACTTTACTTTCCTACTCAATTTTCCTCTTTTCAACTCGTTTTAGAACCACAACATGACCTTCTGTCTCCTACTTGGGGACTTCACCCTCTGCTGATCCACTTTCTTGGAGTTGACCCAGGTTTCTGTCTAAGTGGTCTGGTCACTAAAATTCTGCTGACCTGTCACTGATTCACCTCCACTAGAGTATTGTCACTGCCGAGAACCTCCAGCTGCTGGTCCCCTCTCTGTGTTGGATCACATGGGGCATTGCTTTTAGTTCTATTCAGACAGGGTGTACCAAATTCTGTGGATTATAGCTTTTGAACTTCTGGCACCCTTCCTGCCTTCTCCCCAAGGAGTCCTACATTTGCATCTGATACTTCTTTAATCCACTTTAGCCTTTAAATTGTGCCAAAAAGATTTTAAGCATAGAAATGATTTTGTTTCTATTGTTTCAGCCAACTTTTTAGCATTTTAATCTTTTTCCCACCATGTAAAGGGTGTCAGCATCTTATATGCACGTTTATATCAGGTTTGAACTCTTACCCCGAAAATGTTATTAAAATCCTTCTTTCGCTTGGCATATAAAAAGTGAATGCAAATTGACCTAGGTATAGACAAGTGCGCTCATGTTGATCAATGGTCAGAACATTATCAGATTCAATAATAAGCTCCCCTTCCCAGCCAGTTGGGAAATCTAAAAGATTAAGCTTATTATTTTCTGATTAATAAATATTTTTCAAAAATTCCAAAAATATCAAAAACTATAAAGAGGAAAAACATTGTTGCCGCTGTTAACTACTTCCCAAAGATATCATTTTTAATATTTCTGTTACTAATTAGGAGTCATAGTATTCACTGTGTTTTTATTCAGTTTTGAATTTTCTTCAGTTGCTAATGGTATCGTTCAATGTACCATTAGCAATTGAAGATTAGAGGTTTTTTTTTTTTTTTTTTTTAATGCTTTACACTTACCGTTGCACAAGATAAATTCTAAGAAGTAAAATTAATCGAGCAGTTGATATGAATGTTTTAAATTTTCTGGCTAAATTACCCCTCAGAAAGATCATACTACACACACACACACACACACACACACAACCCTATCTGTCTTTTACCTATCTATATATGTATACATACACACACACACACACATTTTTTAAAAACATTCTTTATAAATTTTCAAATATTTAACAAAAGAGTGAGAATAATTTAATAAAACTGCATGTACTAATCATACAATCATGCAGCTTAAATAACAACACATAGCCAATCTTCTTTCGTCATTATCTAAACCTACTTATATTCTTTCTCCAGATTATTTTAAAGCACATCCTGGACATATACGTCATTATATATTTTTCTATATTCATGTATAATCTATGGACACACATTAAGTGCCACAATTCACATTGTAGTCTTTGAGAATGCACTTCCTGGAGCACATAAACCATGGTATAAATGATGTCCTCCCCAGCTGATCAACAGGACAGAGCTGGAGAGGACTGTCACTTGAGTCACTTGAATCAGGTAAAGGGCATCATTTCTCAGCTCCAATAGATTATGAAATAATGCATGCTGTATGTTGACTGATTTTGTACTTTTTAGAGGAAGCCATAAATTGGGAATTAAATGGTGTGGCAGTTACACGGGATTGGATGAATTTACAGGACTGCTGAGATTCCAGAGTGTATACTCAGGTCTCTTGAGAACGTTTTAGCCTATGTTAGTTTATACACCAAACATGCTGTTCCTATTAACTGTTATTGCCTGAGCTGAATTTGAGTAGGTGTTTTGGACCCCAAATCTTGATTTCTTCACAATACTATCGTACAGGTAGTAGTAACCTCCAACTATACTTTAGTTAGAGCCTGCCACAGAGCTTCCATAGGCTATGTGGGCAGACATGGGACCTATCAGTGGTAAGTAGCTGAGCCCAACAAGTCACCCTTAAACTAACACTCCTTTCAGTTTTCCAAGTATTCTTTACCTTGATTATTACCCTCCATGTGTAAAAACATGGTATATAGGCATTAGGGCACATGATAATTTTGAATTTCATCTTCGAACAAAGAAGAAGTTTTCTGCAGGCAAATAGCTTTACCTTTGTGGATGGCATCTGTAATATATCTAAGAGGTAATATCATTCTCTTGGCTATCAACCTCTCCTGTGGTACCAAGATAATATTAACTTTCTCTTTTTGCATTATCTTTTTATAGACTCCCTTTCTATCAGCAATAATTTCCCCTTTCCATTTTTCATTAATTTTTGCCCAGATTATTCTCCTTGGGTTAGGACTCTTAGGCTCAACAAGAGAATTTACCTGTGATGGTGGCAGCAATATAAATGTAGACAATGATTTCCCCTTCATCTATTCCCAGTCATATGGAATAGGGTTGGGTAAGTATAATTATGTAGGCCTTCCTCATACCGGTTAAGAAAGATACAGACGCCATTAACCCACTTCAAAAAGATGAAAAGAAGGAATGATCCATACCATCATTCCTTTAAGAATGCAGATAATAACAGTTAGAAGTATTGTTATGGTGTCATGTTTAGCAAGTGATCTTCTGGAACTCGTAAATGCAAGTCATGTTCCAGCAATACAGGATGAGGGAAAGAAAAAAAATCTCAAAACAGGGAAAAAGTTTTTATAAGTGTCTGTGTCGTCCTCACTACCTTTTCCCTATATTTGCAAAATATATATTGCAAAAATATCTCAACCATCTATCCAATTGCAATGCTCCTTTATTTCCGCATATAGTTTTAACGTACACTTATTCAGTCGTGACGGACATCCTTTCAGTCTCTCATCACCCGCCAGTTCAGTAAGCAGAGATTTCAATTCTCCATTCCAATTTTTGATCAGTCGACTTCTTCATGGATAACAATGTGTATAAATCCATTGTATGTGATGCCTTGTAAGTCACTGTTTTATTTCACTTGGAGTAAAATGGGTTCTTTAATTAAATGATCATCATCCAAATTAAAATAATATATTTTCTCTAGGTCTTTAGTAGTGCTTCATTTGCAAGGGGTACATACCCAAATCCAGAATGAGTATCCTTACTCGAGACTCATTGTTATCCACCTGAAAAGTGGGTGATGATGTTATAATTAAAAATTAGCTCTGACATATTTCCATTTGTCTTTCAACATGCACATATTATGTTTGTGGTGTGTATATTTCTTTGTGTCTATGTGGGTGTATAAATACTGCTCCTAATCTCTTAAGCAAACTGTTATTTGTCCGAATCCAAATATTTTACCATGGATCATCACATTCCTTTGAATATTACAGTCAGGAACTAGAGTATAGCATTGTAGTCTTACCTGAAACACTTTAATTCACTAATGTGGTATCTACCTATCTGAATTCATGGGCTAAACTATCCATTATGGTTTATTTTTCTTTTGCAGCTTTGAGCATGTGGATTCACTTTTGTCCTGTGGATTTATTTTATTGCTTATCTGTATTTATTTTCTTTTCATAAAAGAGTTGGGGATGGCATCCTACATGAACTTATCTTCTCAGACAGAACAAAGATAAAGCAAGAGAAAATGTTAAACTATAATGCATTTAATTCACAGCAAAAATCTGCTTTATTTCTTTCCTAATACCTGGATCATTTTTTAATTCTAGTTTTGACTTTGGTAATTATCATTTGAATTATTGAAGTCTTTGAATTAACTTTGTTTTGGCAAATATATTTTGAATTTAAAAGCTCTAATATTTAATAATGTTTGG